GCAGCATTGCTGGGTCATCATCTTTATCAAACATTTATTAATCATCTACAATGCACAAGACTCTGTCCTGGGTTCTAGGAATGTTCTTTAAGTTTCCAAAATGAATGAATGCATGAATGAGTGAAAAGTTATTTTTAAAGTGCTTGTTAATCAGTCTTTTCAGTCATGTTTGACTCTTTGTGACCCCATTTGAGGTTTTCTTGGCAAAGGTAAATGATTTGCTTTTAAAATGCCTACTCTGTGCCAAGCCACTATATTAGGAGGGAAAATACAAAAACAGAATAGTTCCTACCATTAAGGAGCTTGTATTCTTATTTTTTAGGCAACTGGGGTTAAGTGACTTGCCTAGGGTCACACAAAGCTAGTAAGTGTGAAGCGTTTGGTCTGAGGCCAAATTTGAACTCAGGTCTTCCTGACTTCAGGGCTGGTGCTGTATCCACCGCACCACCTAGCTGCCCCAAGGAGCTTATACTCTAATGGGAAAGACCATACCTATAGGGAAATGGTGGCCCAAGAAGGATATTTTCATCAAAAAAGATATAAATATGGTGGGTGCAATAAGAGAACAGTCTGTTGACCTTCCCTTTCCAGAGCCAATGGGAGTGTTGGTTTGGACAGTTTTCAGAGGAAAAGGTGGAAAGTGGTGGGCCAAAAATAAATGACAGATGCATGGTGTCAGGGTGGAAAATATCTGGTGTGAAGATGAGGACAAACAGTCCACTGGAGTTCAGGGGTCAGTGTCTTAATTCCTCTAGGGCATGGCCTTTTATAGTCTGTTTTGGAGAGTGAAGCCTCAGGAACAACAGCGGGACAGAAAATATCCAGGAAATTAAAGAAAGGTTCATAGCCCAAGGGGATTCAGAGCTGAGTAGGCCAGCTCCTCCCAGACATAGTGTCTGTTGATTCAGGGTGGGGCAGCAGCAACATCTAAGTATAGGGCACCTTTCTCAATCACTCAGTGATCACTCAAACTAATAGATTGTGTTTCCAGCACAAGAATGAAAAAAATACATAAAATAAAAACTAAAATGAAATTGAAGCAGATTATCCAGATGTTCTCAAGTATCCATGATATTCAGCACATTGACTGAAAATAATGAAATTTCATGTCCTACTGAGACATGTATCCAAGAAGTGATAGACTTGTCAACTCTGATGGCTGCTACTAGCTTTTGGTGATGCACCTGGGTACAAATGATGCTACCACACAGAATCTAGAACATACACATGTATGAATGTATATACGTACATATGTGTATGTTTATATATACTCATGTGTGTGCATGTGTGTTGTGATACACCCTTGTAGGTGTGTATATGTGTTCTGTATTTGTATGTATATATACACAAACACACAAATGCACATGCACACGTATACAATATACACAAAGACATATGTCCTTCTATGTGTCTATATGTTCCATATAAATAAATGTGCATATATACACAAATATATCCATTTGCACATACATTATATCCTATGTTTGGTGTTCAAAGTCCTTCATAACCTAGCCCCTCCTCACCCTACCTTTTCAGTTTCCTTACCACCTTACTTCCCACCTTCATTCCAATGACATTCCTTAATATTCCACAAGCAAAACATGTCATCTCTTGACTCCAGATGTTTTCTCTGGCTATCTCCCATGCCTAGAATGCCCTCCCTCCTCATTTCTGCCTGTTGGCTTTCTTGAATTTTCATCTAAAATCCCATTTTCAATAGGAAGTCTTTCAAAACCACTCTTAATTCTAGTACCTTCACTTGAATTATTTTCTATTTATCCAATATAAAATAAATAAATAAATTAAGCTTATTTGCACACATTTGTTTGCCTGTTGTCTCCTCCATTAGATTGTGAGCCCTTTGAGGGTAGACTGTCTTTTGCCTCTTTTTGTATCCCTAGTGTTTAGCATGGTGCCTGGCACATAACAGACACATAATAAAAGTTTATTGATTGACTGCATAGGAGTAGTTGTGTTTATCTGTACATATGTATATATGCATATATAGATATGTATGTATGTAACATATACCTTTTACACGTATTTGCACATACACACATGCGTCATGTGCAGGCATATATACATACCATGTAGATGTGTGTATATGTGTTAAAGTATATTTGTATGTATATGTATATATACACATACACATCTACACACACCTACATATGTATATATCAATATGTATGCATATAATACATATGTTTTACATGTATTTGTACATATACACATGTGTCATGTGCAGGCATATATACATACCATGTAGATGTGTGCATATGTGTTAAAGTGTATTTATACATTTGTATGTGTATGTGTATATACACATACACATCTACACACACCTATATATGCATATATATATTCTACAAATCTATTTAAAACGGATTTAAATTGAAAAGGGTGGGGGAAGAAGAAAACATATCTACCAGAGCAGACATTATTGATAGTAACTACAGTATATGGGGAAAAAATAGCAGTAGAGATGACCAGGAACTTAACAGGAAAATAAAGCCTAAAAAGGAGCCAAGAATAAAACCAATGACCTTATTTGTCTCTATAAAAATGTACAGAACATTGGCAACAAGCAAGGTGAACTAGAAGCCCTAGAGAAAAGAAGGTAATTTTCCTTTAACATGTATCACTGAGACTTGGAGTCATGGGAGCCATGGCTCTGGAAAGTTAAATTTTGTTAAAGGAAGATGTGGTTGAATATCATTGAATATTGACATGGCACAATCATGTGAAAAAGGAACAAAGAGCCAGTTTGGGGAAAGCATTGTAGAGAACATTTAGGTGGTGGTCAACAGAAGGAGAAACAATAGAAACAAAAGTCATTATCATGAGAATATACTACAGCCCACTTGGATAAAGAAGTGAATGTGAGCGGTTAGAAAATTGATCACAAACCTGTCCCAGAGGCAAAATATAGTACGAATGGAATAACTTATGGGAACATCTGTGGGAGCTCTCTCTCTCTCTTTCTGACAAAAACAGAGCATTTAATACATTTTTGTTTTCCTTAAAGATAATTTCATCCTTCACAAGGGTCACCTAACTCTAACAATGATGAACTGGTTGCTGAAGTTAAAGTGATGGGAACTAGGTGACAGGAAGGAGAGAAGTTGCCATTTCATCTTAGAATTTCTTATAGGATAAGACGAAAGCCTGACATATATCTGAGATTTTAGGAGATCAAGTTTCCAAAGGGAAAATCTTTCAAAGTGTCAACCCAAAGAGAAAAGAAAGAGCAGGAAAGATCTAATGGCCTAAATTCTAGAAGTCTGTTCAGGAAGAATGGGAAGCTTTCAAGAATTAAATTCTAGCAAAACAAATAGAATAAATTCCAGTGAGGAGGAAAAGGGAGAGTTGTCTATAGAGACCTATGTAGAAGGACAAAGATTTTAATTTTTTATAAAAGATGTGTATAGATGGCAGGAATTGGGATGAATATAAGTGTCATGGTCCTGTAAGAAATATCAGGAACTCAGAAACTCAGAATGAGATAAGACTAGCAAGGAATGTGGAAGATAACAGAGGGGATTTTAAGCTTTATTGGACAAAAAAAAAAGAGGGGGATTAGAGCACCTGCTCAAGGTAAATGAGATGATAATGATGGATACTGCACAAAAAGGGCAGAAATATTCAGCTTATATATTGCTGCTTTTTTTCCACCAAGGAGAATGATTTGTACATTGGAAAGAATAGAATGAAAATGGTGAACATGGAGGTGGAATCCAAAACATGTGAGGAAATAAGAGAGCACAGAGTTGCTGCTGATGAATTCAAGTTACTTGCCAAAAAGGAAGAAAAATCTTATGGTATTGAAAGAACTGGTAGAAAGGATTGTTGAACCATGGTTCATCATGGAAAATAGGAAAGAAGTTACAAGATTCTTGCTCCAATTTAAAAAAAAATTTTTTATTAATTTATTTTGATTTATTAACAATCCATAAGCTTTTGAGTTTTAAATTTTTCTCCTCCTCCTTCCCTCTCCACGATGGTGCCCAATCTGATATAGGCTATACATATACATTCCTATTAAACATATTTTCACATTGGTGATGTTGTAAGGAAAAATTAGTACCAATAGGAGGAGCCACCAGTAAGAGGAAGCAAAACAAAACAGAAGAAGAAAAAGTAGCAAATAGTATGCTTCAATCTACATTCAAACTCCACATAGATGTGGATAACATTTTCAATCATGAGACCCTTGGTGATGTCTTAGATCTTTGCATTGCTGAAAAGGGCAAGTCTATCAACGTTAGTCATTGTATAATGTGGCTGTTACTGTGTACAGTGTTCTGCTGGTTCTGCTCACTTCACTCAGCATCAGTCCAGACAAGTCTTTCCAGGTTTTTCTGATGTCTACCTGCTCATCATTTCTTATAGCACAATAGTATTCCATTATATTCATATACTACAACTTGTTCAGCTGTTCCCCAGTTGATGGGCCAGTTTTTTTTAAAAGGACAAAGTAAGGAGCCTATCAAATATAGAGCCACTGAGGTTGATGTTTCCTGGAAAAATTCTAGAGTGCATTATTAAAAGGGTAATGAACATTTAGAACAGGAAGTAGGGATTAAAAAGCCCTCCTAGTATAGCTTCCTGAATGAATGGATGGATGAATGAATAATAATAATTAATTATTAAGTACTTACTATGTACCAAGCACTCTGCTTAGTGTTGCAGATAAACAGAAAAAGAAAATGAAACAGTTTTTGTATTCAAGGAGCTTGCATTCTAATTGTAGGAGGCATCCCATTTAAAAGAGTCTAGCTGCAGAGCAAAGGCCTGGAAATCCTAAGCATTCTGTGCAGGGCCCAGGTGTCCTTAAGGATAGGTCAATAATAGATCATGGCAGACTAAGCCCATTTTTTTCCCTACAGGGTTATAAGACTTTTCGTTCAGAGGAGTGCTGCTTACAAAGTTTACATAGGTTTTAAAAATTTTTTTATTTATTCATTATTTATTTATTTATTTATTTATTTAACAAAGCGCTTGACAAAATCATTCAGAATAACCTTATGGACAAGGTACAGTGAGGTAGGTTAGATCAGAGGTGTCAAAAGTGAGGCCTAACAGTGGCATTCAGGTATGGCCTGAATCAGATTAAAATGTAATTGGGAAAAGTTTAACTAACAAAATAAATAAAAAATACAATACAAGGTAGATAACATTGATTTTTGACTTTCTCGGTCTATATCAAACTTTCTGGGACATTTCTATCTGATTCTGATATAACTGGACTAGGTGATAATACAATTAGGTGGATTATGAAATGATTGAATAATCAGACACAAATAGTTATCATTAATGGCTCAATTTTAACTTAGAACATATCCAGTGGAGTAACCCAAGGATCTGTGTTGGCCCTGTGTTATGAATTTTTATTAATTACTTGGATAAAGAAATAGAAGGCATACTTATCAAATTAAAAGATGACACAATATTGAGAATGGTCACTAACATGCAGGATGACTAAGTCAGGATTCAAAAATATCTTAATAGGCTAGAATATTATTTTGGAGCTAATAGAAGGAAACACAATAAGGATGGATGTAATCTTATATCTGGTTTTAAAAATTAGCTTCACAATTACAAATTGGAAGATGGGAGATGTCAGTGGTATGATGCGGCAGCCAAAAGAACTAATGAAATCATAGATTGCCTTTCGAAAGGTTTAATATGCAGAGCACAGAAGCTGAGAGTCATAAAGTCACACAATTTCTAAGCTGGAACTTAGAAACTTCTCCTCTCCCATAACATTAAAGCATGGATGACCACTCTTTGGGAAGGTTGTAGAGAGGATTCTTATTCCAATTTGGGTCAGATTTGATAGCTTCTTTGACAGTCCCTTCTAAGTTGGAGGTTCTGGGATTTTGATGTGTTTCTCTAAGTATTTGGCTGAAATTTTCATTTTTGATTCAAATGGTTTATATTATGAGAAACTGACACAGAAACTCTAAGAGCAAGATAATGCTTATTTCCTTTAAACTTAGTCTGGTAATTTTGAGGTATTGGGCTAATGAATCCAACAGGAAATATTTATTAAGTGTCTGTTATGTTTCTGGATCATGGACTCAAACATTCAGGAATTATAACAAACTATTAGCATCCCTTGAACTTCATTCTCTCTTTTATTTCTCACCATGATCTCTACCTCTAACCCCCTAAGCCAAAGGGCTTATTCATCATGTATGTATACATGTACACATTAAAGTGAGTTTCAAGTATAGTCATTTGTTTCAGAGGATTTGAGAATTTTTCAATAGTCCTTGAGATAACTGATGATTCCCTGGGGTATTACAAGTCTTGGGCTGATAATCACTGGTCTCTGAGGATGTGCGAGGTCTTCCATATGAATTAATTGGAGATTTTTATCCCAGTTATAGTAGATAACAATGGACCTTGGCCAAGTGGGCCCACATGGTTGTAGAGAGTAAGAATCAAATCATCTGAAAAAAAAAACCACAACAAAACTCTGTTTTCCATGATTAACTCATAAAGCACTAGAGCTTACCAATACCACTGCTCCATGTGGCAAAAATACATTAAAAACATCTGTAAAGATAGGTATGATCTGGTGGTTGTTCAAAAACAAATATAAAGATTGGGGAACATTTTGCTTAGAGACTAATGTGGCCCCACACATCTGCCATATTTTAATAGAACTAGTTTCATAGGCACCAGCATCAATTTAGAAAAGTGGTTGGGTTATAAAAATAGATTTCTGTCTCCATAGTACATGACTGTAATGTACTTGGCTAATGTCCATGCTGCTATAATGTGTTAAAATCAGATTAATATAGGCAATAAAAAGAAAGTTTTAGGCCTTTTTCTAGTGATCTTTATAAAATTGATTTTTACAGATTTATCTTGCTGATATAAATAATATCAGAAAGGAGTGTCAGAGAACCTGTTAGCAAGAGAGGTATTTTATTCAACATTGATTTTTTTATTTTAATAATTCTCAATCAAATTAAACTACCATAAAGGTTTAGCATGTCCAGTTGAATTCCAGAACAGCCATCCACAGGCAGTGGAAAGCAATGACACCATCTCCAGGTCTGAAGTTGATTCACCATTTTACCTGGTCAAGTGTGGAAATTAGTATTCATTGGTACTAGTAGAAACTAGTACTGGATCCCCAGAAGGACAGTAACTTACCAAGTGAAGTTTATTATGTTCAAATCATCTATGTAGGTACTAGGGAAAGTACAAAGAAGTACAAGCTATGGTCTCTGTCCTCATGGAGTTTTTTCCCCTGCCCTCAAGGAGGTTACATTTTAATGAAGGAGAAAATGTGCAAATTATAAGTATGTATATTATGCATAAAGAGAAGGAAGATTACCTTAGAATTTTTTTTTTCAATTTAGTAGGGGGCAGGTCCATATTTTCCTTATTTCATGTAGAAAAAATGAGGCAGACTTTTTTTGTTTTTATCTTTCATGCAATGGCCAAAGTGATTTTCCTAAAGCACAAACATGACCATATCACTCTCCTTAAACTCTGATGGTTTCCTATCACCTCCATATCCAACATTAACTCCTTGCTTTGGCATTTAAATCCCTTCATTATCTGACCACAATTTACCTTTCCAATCTTCTTGGTACTACACAGGTCCCATGCAGCCTGTGGTCCAAAGTGACCTTATTGTTTCCCATAGAAATGCTCTCTGCCCTCACCCTGAACTTTCGGCTTCTCTGGCTTCCTTCAAGACTCTGCTGAAATCTAACCTAATGCTAGTGGTCTCTTCCAATCTGTCTCCTCCTCTTTCACTGCTATTGCCTTCCCTTTGAAATTACCCTCCTGTTTTTATGGTACGTATCTTATATGTACATAGTGTTCATACTGCTCAGCTTGTATATGAAGCCTTTCCAGGTAAGTAAGACCTGCTTGTCCTTGTATTTTTGCTGACAAAAACTTTGAGAACCTCTTCTAGTATCCCCTCCATGCTATGATGAGGCATCAACCCAGAGCTTTGGAAGAGGAAATTGTCTGCATTGGGTGGAATGATGCAGAGCTCCCAACAGTGTGAGGTTGGGAGATCTCATCATCCTGATGACTTCTGATTTCATCCAGGTCACCTTGGCCATAAAAACCACTAACTAGAAAGATTGGATCAAGAATCTGAGTGGACACTTGGAGCAAAGGACTGAATAAAAGTTATTTTATGTAATGAAATTGATTTGTGGAGATGCAAATGTAAAGAAATTTAATTGTATTCATGTTTAATGTTATTGCTAATAAAACACTGATTATTTGCTTAAAGTACTCAGCAGTCTTTTTGTTTTCACTCACCTTTAAGCCATTTGCCTTGAGACTCTCAAGTCAGGCTAGGCTCTCCTGCCTTCTCTTCCTTTTCCATTTCATTGACTACTTTTCCATTGCACTCCTCCATTTCCAGAGTTCAGGATCCTTCTGATAGTTACTGTTTTTCCTTTTTCTTGTTATAGTCCCCTTTTCCTCCTGGTTCTCATAGTTCCTTTTCATGAAGTCTGACTCTCCTTTTCCTTCTTCACCTCCTCCCATCACTAGAGCACAAATTCCCACACCTGGGACCCATGGCTCTGAGAGGTGGGATTTAACCTTATCTTGACCAGAATCAGGCTATCTTGCCACTTGTAGTCATTTCCAAATCATATTGGTCAGCACTCTCAACACCAGAACTGAGTCTCTGCCCCCGGGGCCCCTACCTTTCCAACTCTAGCCTCCCTAGTGCCCTGGCATAGGAATGCCCAGCATGCCATGTCCACATCAGAGTAGGTGCTGTGCTCTATGAGCAAAGCAGAATTGCAATAGCACAAAATATATGTGAGATGCACAAATTTAGAGCCTTCTCCATTCCAAACGTTCATATGGACTATTTGTGCCTGACCTGTGGTAGAATCTTCTGAGCTTGTGTTGTTCTGATCAGCCACAGTTGGACACACTATACCTTGACCCCAACATAGGAACGTCATTTTGGTCCTCTTCAAGAATGAAGGACAACAACTAACAAATCAGTATGTAGCTTTTCCTCCATTAGGTCTGTAAGCAATTTGAGGACTATACTCAGCATTGAATACAGTGACAGATACATCATAAGCATTTAATATGCTTTTATATTTATTCATTCTATCATCACACCTCCCAAGCATTATCTATATGAACCTTCACCCAGCTGTTGATTTCTACCCCCTTACTATCCTGGGCATATTACCTGTAGAGCTATAGAACAGAACACAGACATCAAACATGTAGCTCCCGATGCTCCCCAGTGTATCATGAACAAGATTAAAATGTAATTGGGAGATATTTAAAACAAAATAAATGAAAATATAATAGAACATAGATAATGTTTAATATGTGGTTTTATAAGTCAGTATGTGACCTGCAGAGATCTTGATGCGTGATTTACTGACCCTGTTTCTGTGAGTTTGCCACTATTGGCATAGAGTACCAATGTCAACTTAATGTACTCTTGAATTTTAAATATCATTAAAAAAAGACTTCCTATTTACATCTTAAAATACATACACACATACACAATCTCACAGAATTACAGCATACTAGTATTGTAAGGGATTTTTAATATTTGTCTGATCTAATCCTTTCATAAGGAAACTGAGGCCCTGGTAGGTGAATAAAGGTAAAGCATTCTTTAGTAACTACCATATGGTACTAAGTGGACCACATCTTTTGGGTCTTGCAGCATCCTTCTCCTTGAAAGCTGAATAGACAGGAGACACAGATTTTCAAGAAGACTTCATTCCCATCCTTCTAGGCTTCTATGCCCCATCACTATGGACCCCCTTCTGACCTCTCAGTCAATCTAGAAATTAGGTTTGCTAGACACGTAGAGCAAAGGAAAGAAAAACACCTAACGGTCAGTTCATTGCTCAATGCACTTCCTGACAACGGAGCCCCTAACATCCTCATCTCCCAGCTCATAAACTCTCCTGTAAAAACTGAAAAGTGTGAATTTACAGGGCTGAGAGAGAAGCCAGGAGATGAAACAGCCATCACGCAAATGGACCAAGCATACTGATGGAGCAAGATGGTACGGCCTTGCCAATTCTCCCTCAATAAAATACTTTTTTCTACTTCATTATTTCCCAACTTCCTGTTTTCTCACATAAATTTTCTCCCAGGCACAACTGAGGGAAAAGAAGGGAAAAAAAAGCAAAACAAAAACAAAAACACAATCCCTAGATTTGCCTTATGGCAAAGAGGTAAGGAGGCCTAGAACCCTGGGTCTTTCACGCCCTGTTTGGCCTTTGTTCTCCCAAACCTTTTCACTGTTTCCCTTTTCCTGACCTTCAGAAGGCTTGCTAGCATGGCTTGAACAAAGAACTCTGCCAAAAATATGATAAGCACCAGGCTGTGATTTACGACTCATCAGGGAATACTTGCTACTGGGTTAGTTTTCCCAAAATAGGTAGAGGCGATACTGATGGAATAGTGCCAACCAGCAGGCAAACAAGGACAGAGAGATAGGCTGATAAGGATGGTCTCCATCACTATGCCTTTATGCTCAGAGCCTGGCAGCACAAAAGAAAGAAAGTGGCCTACGAACAGAAGAACTTCCTCTCGTGTGAAGCCTATAGATTGTTTGGAATTTTTTTAGTTATTTCATGTGTGTACCTGGATGGTATGGTGGACAGAGTGCTGGGGATAGAGGCATGAAGATATCGATAAGTATAGATATGTAGATGTCAATATTTACTCATCTATACTCCTTTTATAATGGCAAAGAACTGGAAACTAATGGAGTGCCCATCAAATGAAGAATGGTTGAACAAATTATGGTATAAGAATATAACAGTCTACTATTGTGCCATAGGAAATGATGAGAGAAACAGTTTTAAAGAAACCTAGGAAGAACAGTAAGGACTGATACATGCTGAATTAAGCAGAATCACAAGAACAGTTTATAGGACAACAATAACACTGTAAAAAAAAACCAAACAAACCCATCACTTTGAAAGACTTAAGTACTCTGATTAACCTAGTGATAAACATTGATCTCAGAGGACCAATGATGAGTCATACTATTCATTTCTAGACAGAGGGGTGATGGGCATTTTAATAGAATATTGAATTGAACTTAATAAAATATTTTAGATATGACCAATGTACCTGTTTTTCTTGAATATATGTGTGTGTGTGTGTATGTGTGTGTGTATGTATATTTGTCATAAGGAGTCTGCCTTTTTTTTCCCCAATGGAGGGGAATAACAAAGAAAGAAAACCAGATTTTTGTTAAGTGAAAAATAAAATATATTTTAAAAATATATGAGTTGGACTCGCAACTTTTGAGATTTCTTCTAACTTCAAAAATCTTTGAGTAGATCAATCATTAATTCGACAAATAATGATTGAGTGTCCATTATGGGCAAGGCATTAGGGAAGATATACAAAGATAAATAACATAGATTTTCCAGGCCAAATGAGCTTAAAGTTTAACTATAAT